TCAACATAAAGTTTCTCCTCCCTCAACCGTTGCAATACAATTCGCAAATGCTGGGCATGCTCACCCTAGCTACGAGAGTATATCAGGATATCATCAATGAATACAATAACAATCGATTCGAGATAGGGCTGGAACACACTGTTCATCAGATGCATGAATATTGTTGGGGCATTGGTCAATCCAAAAGACATAACATAGAACTCATAATGGTCGTATCAGGTCCTGAAAGCTGTCTTAAGAATATCTGAGTCCCTGATCTTCAACTGGGACCTGAGATCAATCTTGGAGAACACCCTCGCTCCATAAAGCTGGTCAAATAAATCATCAATGCGCGACAAAGGATACTTGTTCTTAATGGTGACTTTGTTCAACCGCCTGTAATCAATGCACATCCTCATAATGTCGTCTTTCTTCTTCATAAACAAAACAGGTGCACCCCAAGGTGACACACTAGGTCTAATAAACCCCTTCTCAAGGAGTTCTTGAAGCTGCTCCTTTAATTCCTTCAACTCAGTCGTTTCCATACGGTGTGGAGGAATAAAAATGGGCTGAGTGCCCGGCACCAAATCAATATCCCTGTCTGGAGGCATGCCCGACAGGTTTATAGGAAACATATTCGAAAACTCTCGTACCACTGGGACAGAATTAATAGTAAGGGTCTCTACACTAACATCCCTCAAAAAGGCCAAATAAGAAAGACAACCCTTCCCAACCATCCGTTGGGCCTTCAAGTATGAAATCACTCTACTGGGAACATAGTCTGAAGAACCTCGCTACTCAATCTGTGGAAACCATGGCATCGCCAATGTCATGATTTTTGCGTGACAATATAAAATATCATGACATAGAGACAACCAGTCCATACACAATATCACATCGAAGTCGATCATACTAAGAAACAAAAGATCCACTCGGGTCTCCAGACCCCCCAATAGTTACCACACAAGACCGATACACACGATCCACAACAATAGTATCACCCACCAAAGATACATGAACAGATAAAACAAGAGACTCGCAGGGCATATCCAAATAACGAGCAAAATATAACAACACATGAAAAAGTGGAACCACGATTGTGATGACCCAAAAGGTCATCACTTGTCTTAAAATGAAATTTCCATATTCTAAGGCCTTGAAAACCTCATTTAGAGCCACCTCGATTTGCATGCGCAGTCCGGGTGCATAGCCGAAAAGCTTAAATATGATAATCTGTGAAAAACGATAAGTTTTGATTATAAAATGAGCTAATTTGACTTCGGTGAACGTTTTGGATAAACGGACCCGGAGCAGTAATTTGACAGTCTCGGAGGGTCCGTAGGAAAATATGGACTTAGGCATATTCCCGGAATCGAATTCTGAGGTCCCAAACCCGAAAATGAATTTTTAAAGAAATTATTTTCTGGAATTGTTTAAAGAAATTTGAAATGAAATTTGATTAGAACATGATGGTATCGGGCCCGTATTTTGGTTCTGTTGCACGGTACAGGTCTTATATATGATATAAGACATTTCTGTGGAATTTGGTGAAAACGGATGTCACATGACGTGATTCAGACTTAAATTGCAAAATTTATGTTTAAAGAAGTTTTGAGAAAATTTCATCGATCTCGAGATTTAATTTGATGTTCATGAGGTTATTTTGATGATTTGATTATACGAGTAAGTCCATATGATGTTTTTGAGTTAGTATGATATTTGGTTTGGAGCCCCGAGGTCTTGGGTAAGTTTGGGGATGTTTTTACACATGGAAAAAGTTGCAGATTCAGAGAAGTTGCAGGTCTCTGAAGCCAGGTCTCGCGGTCCACGGTGGAAGCTTCACGGCCGCGGCGGGGACTTCGCTACCGCGGTGAGATTTTTGCAGTCCGCAATGAGCAAGTCCAAGCCTTCGCGGCCGCGCTTGATTTCTTGCGGTCCGCAGTGGAGCTCCGCGGTCGCAGTCTTTTTTATGCGGTCCGCAGAGAGGGTCTGAGAGGATTATAAATAGTCGAGATTTTTAGTTATTTTTCATTTTTCTAAACCCCAAAAACATAAGAGGCGATTTTTCAAACAACCTTTCTTCTCCAAATCATTTGTAAGTTATTTTTTAACTAGTTTTCTTCAATCATTAACATCTTTTAACATGATTTCAACTTAAAATCAAAGGATTTTCATGGGAGAAATTGGGTGTTTTGGGTAGAACCTAGGTTTTTCAAAATTGGGGATTTGGACCTCAATTTGAGGTCTGATTTCAAAACAAATCATATATTTTGGTTCGTGGGTGAATAGGTAATCGGGTTTTGGTTCGAACCTCGGGTTTTGACCATGCGGGCCCGGGGGCGATTCTTTTTGACTTTTTGGGTAAAGCTTTGGAAAACTCATTTTCATGTATTGGGGTTGATTCATTTAACATTTATTGATGTAATAAAGTAATTTGTGACTAGATACGAGTGAATTGGCGGTGGAATCAAGGGGTAAAGCTATAATTGAACCTTGAATTATGTTCGTGGCATCGAGATAAGTGTTTGGTCTAACCTTAGCTTGAGGGATTAGGAGTTGTGTCCTATTTGCAATTTGTTTCTTGTTGAGTACGAAGTATAGGCATGGTGACGAGTATCTATGCATTGGTGTCAAGCATGACCGTGAGTCTTATATTGTGATTTTCGTGATCTTGTTGTATTATTCATGCCTTGGTGAAGATTTCTATTTGTTGTGTAAAGTTGTGGAAGGAATTATGACCTATGAACATTGAGGAGCGTTGGCTCCAGTTGTATAATGTATTGTGGAAGTATAAGTGATAATCGAAACTCTAGAGCATTGGTTCGAGTTGTGAAGTAAATTGTGAAGTAAAAGTGAGAAAGAAAGGAGATCATTATGTTGCCCCCTTGTCGGGCTATTGTTGAGTTGAGGTTCCCTTGCATTGTGTTCTTAATTTATATTACTGACGCTTAGGTTGATGATTCTTTGAGCTAGGTGTTGAAACCAGTTAGGTTATAGTTGAGATAGTTAGATGTTGGAACAAGTTTGGTTAAAGTTGTTTCTCCCTTGCTGGGACGTATATTCATGTACTGTTGAGTTCCCTTGCCGGGATGATGTAGTATATTATGGATCCCTTGCCAGGATAGTTAAGTATGATTATTGTTGACTGTATATATTTAGAACGGGTTGCACGCCGCAACATTATTATATATATATGGATCGGGTGGCACGCATCAACAGATATTATATTGGATCGGGTTACAAGTCGCAACAGATATTATACTGGATCAGGTTGCACATCGCAACAGATATTATATTGGATTGGGTTGCACACCGCAACAGATATTATATTGGATCGGGTTGCACGCCTCAACAATTATATATGTGGATCGGGTTGCACGCCGCAATAATGTTAAATGATAAGGGATCGGGTTGCACGCCGCAACAGTATTATTATTGTATTGTTGTAGATATTGAGTTGTCCTTTCATATTTTATAAGTTTCTGTTGGCCGTGATATGTTTCCCTAAAGCATGTACCCCCCTCCCATTTTAAACTTCTTATTCCTATTTATTTTCGGCCATATATTATATAACTGCACAGGTTTATCTGGAGTCTGGTCTTATCCTTGTCACTACCTCGCCGGGGTTAGGCTAGGCACTTACCAGCACATGGGGTCGATTGTGCTGATACTATACTTTGCACTCTGTGCAGATACCAGAGCGACACTTGATCAACAACAGTAGGGGAGCCAGTCTTTAGTCCACCGAGACACCGAGGTAGCCTTGCAGGCATCCTCAGGCCCGACGTCTCTTCTGTCTTTTATTATGTTTTGTTATCTCATGTATACGAGACAAACAGTGTTATTTATTTTTCCTTCAAACTGTTGTATGTAGTACTTTTAGTAGTCTGTGGATATTGTGACACCAGTTTCTGGGTAGAGGCATATGTTGACTTTCGAAACATTTTGGTTTTATATTTGTTTAAGACTTCCGCTTAAATCTCATATTCCGTTGTCATTTAGATGTTTATCACTTGTTAATATAAGTTGTAAAAAAAAGACTAAAATAGAAGAGTTAACGAATTTTAAGTTCATGGCTTGCCTAACTTCTACGAGTAGGCGCCATCACGACTCCCGAGGGTGGGAATTCCGAGTCGTGACAAGTATCAAATAATATAGAGGCATCCTTGTGGAATACTGAAATAATACCTGTGATCACAACATCTGAGGCAATAGCATCGGGTTTGGCTGGAAATGCATAAAAATGGGCCTAACCACCGCCTGATCGACCTCCCCCTCCAAGGCGACCCCTGGCTGACTGACCTCCACCCCTAGCTGACTAGGTGGGTGGTGAAGTAACTGGAGCTGAGGCCGAAGGCTGAATCCTTTGCTGAGATGAACCTCCCATAAGGCGGGGACAGAACCTCTTGATATGTCCCAAATCTTTACACTCAAAGCAACCCCTCCCGGTAAATGGCAATGGGGACTAAAGTGAGCCCCGAGAACTGGGATACCCACGAGAAGTACCAGGCACAGATGATCCCTGAGCTGATGGTGCATGAGTCGAACTCTGAGCTGGAAGGGCACTAAAAGATGGGTGGTCTTGTTGTGAACTATGAGAACCAAGTCTAGATGATCCACCACGGTGACCTAGACGAGCTGACTGAGCATGTCTAAATGGACGGCTTCTGCCATGCTAGAACTGACCTCCAGAAGGAACACCACCAAAACTACCAGATCCCCGAGGCCTCTTGGCCTCTCTCTCAACTTGCTCCTTGAAGCGAACCGACTCTATTTCTCGAGAAATGTCAACCACCTCCTCAAAAGAAGCACCAAACACCCTCTATCTGGTTATAAGAATCCGTAGCTGATAAGCGAAGCCATCCATGAACCTCCTGGTTTTCTCCCTATCTGTAGGAACCAACCAAACAGCATGACGTGCTAACTCAGAAAACCTCGTCTCATACTGCATCATAGTCATATCATCCTGACGCAACTACTCGAACTGTCTGCGCAGCTCCTCTCTGCGGGACTACGACACATACTTCTCCAGGAAAAGAGCGGAGAACTGCTACCAGGTAAGGAGCGCTGAACCCTCAAGCCTACATCTCTCATAAGCCTCCCACCAAGTAAAGGCAGCTCTAGAGAAATGAAATGTAATGAATGAGACCCCGCTGGTCTCCAGAATACCTGTTGTACGGAGAATCCTATGACACTTATCTAAGAAACCCTGGGCATTCTTTCCCTCTATACCACTGAAAGTTAGAGGCTAAAGTCTACCAAACCTCTTCAATCGATGCTGCTCATCATCAGGCATGACTGGAACCACATACTCTTGAGCAGGTGCAACCAGTTGGGTTGGTGGTGCCCCCGGTGTCTGAAGTCCCTGAACAACCTGCTCGGGTGTGCGGGCAGCGGGAATCTGAGTTCCTCCCCTGACCGGAGAAGTAGCTATTGTAGTAGAAACAACGACCACCTGAGCAAGGCCGGTGCACATGGTCAGAATCTGAGCTAAGGTCTCCTGAAGACCTGGAATAACTGTAGGCACAGCTGGTGCCTGAGCTGGTCCTATCGGGGCATCTATACTGGGAACCTGATCCTGAACCGGGGCAGCTGGTGGATCTGTTGGTGCTGCCCTAGCTGCACCTCTACCTCTACCATGGCCTCCACTACGACCTCGGCCCCTCGCGGCCCCAACTGGTGGCTGTCCGTCCTGATCGGTAGTATGTGTCCTCACCATCTGTGAGAGAATAGAACAACAAAAGTTTAGTACCAGTATTAACTGATTCGCACGACAAGAATTCAAGAATGTGAAGTTTTCCTAAAGGTTTTGCAGCCTCTCGAAGATAGGTACAGATGTCTCCGTACTGATCCGTAAGACTCTAATAAACTCGCTCATGACTCGTGAGACCTATGTAACCTAGGCTCTGATACAAACTTGTCAAGACTTAAAACTCATCCCGTCATAATGGCGCATATTGTGGAACTAGGCCAGCCTCAACCCAACGCAATCCCAAAACCACAGTATTAAAATTTAGAACAATTGTGGAGGAGTACTTTTATCATTTATGAAAATAAACTGTTCAAACATAAACTAAATCCATAACACAATTTTACCAACCCAAAACCAGGGTGTCACGGAGTGCATGAGCTGCTAGAGAAATAACAGAGTCTACTACAATGTTTACCGAATGCAACTGAAATACAACTAGAATAGAGAAGGAGAGTTAAGTTCTGCGAATGCCATTCAGATACCTCAACGATCTCCCAATCTTGTAACATCGATCAGTGACTGCCACAAGGACCGATAACACCTGAATCTGCACACAAGGTGCAGGGGATAACGTGAGTACACCAACTCAGTAAGTAAAAAGTCCAAACTGTGGACTGAAAGGTAGTGACAAACTCAACCTCATCAAAAATAACAGAAATAACGTACAGAAACGTAGGCATGCTTTCAGTTAAATAAACAACTTGAACAGTAAAACATAGCAGGTACGATCAAGGTAAAGAAATGTAACTCTGCTACATCTATATGCCAATGCACATGCTTTATGAAATGCACCATGTTGCGTGACTCATGAGCCCCCAAATCTCAAATGTTCGTGCACTCAGTACTGTATATGGCACATACAGCCCAGGGATGATCATCCCGGAATATATACATCTCTGACAGTAGTCACTCAATACTGAGGAAGGCCAATCCAGCCTATGGAGAAGATCCATCTAAAGATAATAATAATGATAACAACCTCACAATTACTCGGTACTGTATATGGCTCACAAGGCCCAGGGAAGATCCATCCCGAAATATATACACATCACATACCATCGGTCTCCAGTACCGAGGAAAAGGCCAACCAGCCTCATAAAGAAGATCCATCTCCATACCAAGGGAAGATCCATCCCTGAATATATCAACCGTACTTGCTGGGGGTATGTTACAGACTTCGGAGGGGCTTCTACAGCCCAAGCACTATCATAACCACCAACATGACTGCTGCAGCGTGCAGCCCGATCCTATAATTGTCATTCATAATCAGGCTCTCGGCCTTACTCAATCATCACTCTCCAGTCCCACGCACAGGGGCTCACAATGCCATGAAACTAGACCAAAACAATGATATGATGTGCCAAATAATAATAACTGAGACTAAGTAAAGAATATGAATGAATGAAATGAGATAACAGCAAGAAACGACCACTCGGGTCTCAACAGTATTGGCGTGAAGCCCTAACAGGATATCTAGCATATTTTACAGCACATTTACTTAATCCTATGATAGAAACACGGATATCCACAAGAAAGAGTCACTACGCGATACTGTGGAATGAACCACGCCACAATCCTCACAGTGCATGCCCGCACGCCCGTCACTTGGCTTGTGCATCACCTCAATACAAATCATATAGCACATAGTTCGGGGTTTGAACTCTCAAAACCAAGTTTGGAAGTGTTACTTACCTCAATCAAGCCAAAATCCTACTCTGCAATGCCTTTATCCCTTGAATCGGCCTCAAAACGCCCCGAATCTAACCAAAAACAATACGATGCAGTCAATCTAGGCCAAGGAACCAATTCCACACGAAAAACTATCAATTTAGACCAAAATGCTGAAATTCACCCAAACCTACCCTGAGGCCCACGTCTCGGAATCCAACAGATATCATAAAGCTAGAAAGCCCTTTCACTCACGAGTCCATACATACAAGATTTATCAAAATCCGACTCCATTTGACCCCTCAAATCCTCAATCAAAGTTCTTCAATACTCAAGCCCTAACCCCTTCAGCTTCACTCTAAATTCCCACTAATTTCATGATTAAACAGTATAAAAACCATCATAAACACAAGTGATAAAGCCCAAGTAACTTACCCAACTGATAACCTTTATTTCCCTTTGAAAATCACTGCCCAAAGATCTAAACTCGTCCAAAATGGTGAAGAATAGATAAAACTTCGCGAAGGGAACCTTTTATACTTTCTGCCCAGGATTTACCGCACCAGCGGTCCCCATGTCGCTTCTGCGATGCCGCACCTGCGGAAAATTCATTACAAGTGCAGTTTTCACTTAAACCTCCAATTCCGTTTCTGCGGTCAAATACCCGCATATGCGATCTCGTAGGTGCAATAAAACCTCCGCACCTACAGTCAAACTCAACTGCTCCAAACCGCATCTGCAGTCATCTTTCTGCATCTGCGACCACGCACCTGCTGTCTCTAATTCGCAGGTGCGGAAGCAACAGAAGCAGCAACTGCAGGTGCAACACCAACTTCTCCAACTCTCCGTCAACCATCCAAACTCATCCCGAGGCCCTAGGGACCTCAACCAAAAGCGCCAACAAGTCACATATCACCATTCAAACTTATTCGAATCTTCGGAACACTCAAAACCACATCAAAACACCAAATCACCCTCGGATTCAAACCTATGAACTTCTAATCTTCCGAATTTTGCAAACGGTGCTGAAACCTATAAAACCTCGTCCGAATGACCTAAAATTTTGTACATACGTCACAAATGACACTACGGACCGACCCCAACTTCCAAAATTTCATTCCGACTCCGATATCAAAATTTCCACTGCCGACCGAGAAACGCCAAAATTCAGATTTTGCCAATTCAAGCCTAAATCTATCACGGACCTCCAAATCACATTCCGGATGCACTCCCAAGTCCAAAATCACCTAACGGAGCTAAATGAATCATTAGAATTCCCGTCCGAGGCTATTTACACATATGTCAACATTCGATTGACTTTTCCAACTTAAGCCTACTCAAAAGAGACTAAATGTATCATTCCACTCCAAAACCACTCCAAACCCAACTCAACCAACACAATACGATAATACACAGTTGAAGAACATAGAAGAAAGTCGGAACAGGAAAAACAAGGCTACAACTCATGAAACGACCAGGTCGTTACAAAACAAAATGTAATTACTGCTTAATTATGAGAAGATTTTAGTTATGGAATGGAAAAAAGAATAATTAACTAATTAATTTGTAACTGAAAATCTCACTAATTATATAGGTTGTCATTTTGCCCCAATTCAGATCAAACATGAAAAACAATTGGTTTAAGATTATTCTGAGTTTTGAAGTGCTGTTGCTGATTATAATGGTGAGCAAATGACGATGTATGCTTCCAGGGTAAGGCTTTTCAAGGAGTACGATACAAAGAAAGAAATCTAATGATTCTGATATTCTAACTATGACTTTTTTTACCAATTTTCCTTTCTTTGTTACTTATTCCCTTTTAAATGATGCTTGGAGATAATCTTTTCTACTTTGTCTACATGTTAGTGGAACGATCTTAAGTTTCAAGAAGAGGAGAGCTCCGCAAGTATATTTTTACACTGCAAAAAAGTTTTTAGATATATGAGTTGTGAATTTTGAAAATCGTTAAATAAGTTTATTTGTCAAATAGTTTGAGAGCTCATCTTTTTCTGATATTTCTTTGAGGATTATATTCTAGTGTCTATTTAGTTGTTGTTATTAACTTATTACAATCAATCTATTAGAAATTCTGGGTTCTCATCATATAGTATTACCAAGGGTATATAAAAAAGGAAAAAAAATGCAAGGAAAAAAAATGACTAGGGTCAGGTCTTTTGATTTTGTTGAGCAATCCAGATATGATGACATCTGTATTTACGGATATATTACATGTATGTATTGAGTCAATGAGTTCCTCCTTGTGTATTAAGTGCAAGAATTTTTATTTATAAAAAATAGAGAAAGCGAGTCTTAAAGATTGTAGAAAGAATCAATCTTGAAAATATAATTAGATCACAATTATGGTTTATGATTGAAGAATATAAAGAAAGTAAAATTGAACAAATAATAAAGCCTTTTTTTTAATTATAAAATTTTTAACAATAAATTTTCATTCATATTTCTTTTCAAAATCGCGCAAAGCACGGGCATATTGACTAGTTACGTAAAATAAAATTATATCATCTATAATAACTTAAATTTTTGGTGAGGTAGTTAATATGATTCAACATTAATTGAAGTGTTTTCAAAGATGTATCGCCATACCTGATAATCTCCTATTGTGCATGTTTTGAATCCAACAGCACAGTAATCAAAGTAGTATTCCCAAGTTCTGATGAACTTGTCATCGAATCCCAATGCACGAATTTGGCTAGTAACATAGTTATTAATGGCCAACTATCAGCATTTAGAACTGATCAAGCAGAAAACCAAAAATGATTCATGAAAAAAATAGTTTTAACTCAGCACGAATTTACCTCTGATTTTTCAAGAAGTTTTTTCCGCCAACATCTCAGCGTTTGATAATAGTGAATTCCTATCTCTTCCAGGTGCACTACACTGCATTTATATCATTTATCAAAAGCTTTAAGAAAGAAATGCTTTTGAAAGACTGACAAGGACGCTAGTTCAACAACAACAACAATAACAAACCCACTAAAATCCTACAAGTGGGTCTGGGGAGGGTAGTGTGTACGCAAACCATACCCTACCTATAGAAAGGCAGGGAGGTTGTTTCTAGTTGACACTCGGCTCAAGAAAGATAAAAAGAAGAAGCAACAACAAGCAAACCCATCAGAAAACCGAAGCGATAACATAAGACTACACTGAGTGGTGCAATCAGAAACCGAAGTGAAATAAACAACAACTAATAACAGAGATAAGGACGCTTGTGCCAAATCACAAAATGAACTCGTTCTTACCATATTCTGGATGCAGCATCCATGGCTGATGTTACTCGACTTGGTGTAGGCAAGCATCCACCTGGGAATATATACTCTTTTATGAAGCCTATGTCGATGCCTGTAGTCGTCATACCTCTCATCTGCCATTGAAATGAACTAAGGAAATCCAAAACTTGTGAAAAGCATCGTAAAGAAACAAGAGCGACAAAACATTGAATGAAATTGAAGGGAAAAAGTGAACAAAGTGGACGGTATTAAGGGATCACTTTAATTCAATTCATGCAGAACTAGAAGCCTGTCTTCTGCCAATGCAGACTCACAAGAAGTAAAGAATTCATCCATAAACTCATGACCAACATGTTCTATCATCCCACTGAAAATAAAATTAGTTCAATTGTAACACTGGCTCGACATATAGTGAGTAATACAATATGTCAAGATGCAGAGGATAAAAGCTCACATTGATAAAATCCTGTGATATTTGTCCTTATTTGGCATTTGACGAGTCACATAGGAGAAGTGTAATTCGATTTTGCGAAATTGTTTTATTGAATTGAATATTTATAGATAACCCTAGCTTTAAAGTTGCTCGGATTTGTCTTGCAAGTGATAAGCAGATCATGTTCTCATGTTAATCTTATAAAGACAAATGTGGAAATGCAACATACAAAGAAGCATTTTAGTTAATTTTGTGCCATAACTTCTCTGGCCTGACCTGTGACCGATGTTGCTTGGACTCTCCGAAAATATTGTCGGGTGCATGTCGATCACCCAAAAATAGTGTATTTTTAGAGGATCCGACACGGATGCAACAACATTCTAGAGAGTCCGTGCAACATAGCCTGTGAAGGTTTAGTCATGAATTGCAATCTCCTAGTTGTTTTATCTTTGTTGTGCCTGTCCATATATAGAGGAAAATTTCCTGAACCACATATAGTTATGTCTACACATCAGTTTTGAAGTGGTCATTGCACATCTTCACTTTTCCAGTTACAGATTTCAAAAATTTTGAGTTTCAACATTGTATGTACAATCTGTTCCTGAAGGTCTGCTTGCTTAACTATCAACTGTGCATACTCCTGTTGCTGCTCGGATAGAGTTATACCAGTATATTTACACCCTGTTTGCTTGACAACTTCTACAGAAAAACTTCCCCAACCAAATCCTATCTCTAAAATGTGATGTTCCTTGCTAATTTTTGCCTAAATAGAACAGAAGCAGAATCAAATTATGCTTGAAATCTATGTTGAAACAAGAAAGCTTTTTACATAGTTGATGACTTACCTTTCTAATGAGAACTGAAATCTTTCTCAGTTATGAAAAATTATGAAAGAAAACTAGATCACCATGGGATGAGATTCAAGTGGCAAGCATTTAACAATTTGAGAGCTAACCTTGAATATTGCACATGAGTATGTGTGACGACCCAGCTAGTCGTCTCATGAGTTATCGCTCCGTTTTCTCCCATTTCAGCTTTTTTATGCTTTGTTATCCGTATTTTATGTGATCGGGTTGATTAGTTCAAGTTCGGAGAGGATTTGGTAAGAAATGAGACACTTAGTCTCTGTAAGAAGGCTTAAGTTGGAAAAGTCAACGAGATGTTGACTTATGTGCTAAAGGGCTCGGATGTGAGTTCCGATGGTTTGGTAGCTTCGTGAGGTAATTTATGACTTAGGAGCATGATCGGAATGGGTTTTGGAGTTGTAGAGAAGATTTAGGCTTCAATTGGCGAAGTTGATATTTTGGAGATTTCCGGTTAATAGGCGAGATTTTGATATCGGGGTCAGAAAGGAATTTCGAGAGTTGCACTAGCTTTATTATGTCATTTGGGATATGTGTGCAAAATTCCAGGTCATTCGGGTGAGATTTGATATACTTTTTGATCGGAAGCATAAATTAAGAGTTTTTGGAGTTCTTAGGCTTGAATCCTATGTTAAATTGGGGATTGATGTTGTTGTGAGTGTTCCAAAGTTTTGAACAATGTCACGGGATGTGTTGGTACAATTGGTTTGAAGTTTCGGGAGTTCCGGGTAGATTCCGGGATGTTTTAGGCCGAAAATCATAGCTGTAGCAGATCCAGAAGGGTTGCAAGCCTCGGAACCCACTTGCGCGGTCCGCACAAAAAGAAGTGCGGCCGCGGTATGTGCTTTGCAGACTGCACATAATGAAGTGTGGCCGCGGTAGGTGTTGTGCAGACTGCATAGTGCGGCCGCGGTGGGCAACATTTTACTGGTCCTACTTCAAAAGCACATATCTTTTGATATACAAGGAATTTTGAGATAATTTAAAAGGAAAGTTGTAGCCCTTCGTGTATAGTTTCTAGAAATGTAAAGATATCGCAATTTAGACATCTGTAGCGAAAGTTATGGCTAACATACGAAAGTCTATCACTGCAGAGGAAAGCCTGTCACCGCAGAGGAAAGCCTGTGCGGCCGCGATCATTTTTGTGCGGACCGCGGTTAATTTTGTGTTGTCCGCTGAGGTGGAAATCTGTGGGGTATTCTATAAATACGAGGTTTTGGGTTTTATTTGATATTTTGACCTAGAGAGCTCGGATTTTGGCGATTTTTTGAAGGTTTTTCAAAAAAATCATCGGGGTAAGTGATTCTAACTCAGATTTGGCTAGAGTACATGAATCTATCATTGAATTCATCATTTAATTCGTGATTTGGGATGGATTTTGTGAAGAAAATTGTGAAAATTTTCAAAAATGTAAAATGATGATTTGAAGGACCAAATGGTATCAGAATTGGATAATTTTTGTATGGTTTGATTCGTGAGAGTATAAGGATTCTAGTTTTGTGAATTTTGTCAAATTTCGAGACGTGGTCCCTGTCACACCTCCTTTTTCCGCGCCCGCGAGGGTGCGTGGGAGTTTTTCCAATTAAAGGACAGTNGGTTCTGATTTTGGATAGATTCAACGCGCGTGGATGCCTATTCGAGGGGAAAAGGCGTCGCGAGCTAGAGAATTAGCCGGTTCAAGGTGAGTAATGATTGTAAATAATGCTCTGAGTGTTTGAAACCCCGGATTGCATATCGTAGTGCTATATGAGGTGAGGCACTCGCTTGATGACGATTGTAGGGTCGTGCACTATTGAGGATTGTGACTTGGTCCGTCCCAATTGTGACTTGAACTCAGTCCCGTTATTTTCCACAATTTTACTACTCAGCCAATTTTATTCAATTTTGAGACATAAATGATATTTTAAATGATGTTTTGGGCTGAGAAATACTGTTTTACTATTGACCGAGGGGCTTGTAAGTATTTTTGACTGAGCAAGGCTGAGGGCCTAGTTGTGAGGAAACACTGATACTGATTGAGGCTGAGGGCCTGAGATATATATACACCATGAGGTGGCTTGATTGATATGAGGACGAGGGCCTAGATTTGATGCCACGAGATGGCTTGATTTTGCACTTGGGCGGTATGGGGCCCCTCCCGGAGTCTGTACACCCCTAGTGAGTGCGGGTACCCATTGTGATGTGAGATTGAGCCCGAGGGGCTGATATTATTCTGAGATTGAGTCCGAGGGGTTGGTACTGTTTTGAGATGTTGCCCGAGGGGCGGATTTGTTGATACTATGCCCAAGGGGAAAACTTCTATTTGTTTACTTACCTGTCAATTACTTGTTTAACTTGTTGAAAAGGGATTTACTTAACTCTTCACTGTTTTACTGTTTTTAAGTGATTTTTACTGCTTCAGTATAGAATGCCTTGTGTTTTACGTGTTTTCTTACTTTCAGTCATTATTTACATTTGTTACTCACTAAGTAAAAGTACTCACTTTACTCCCTGCACCCTGTGTGCAGATTCAGGCGTAGCTGGTACTGCTTCTGAGTGTTGATTCCTCCAGTTCCAAGCGGTTTTTCGGAGACTACGAGGTAGTTATTGACGTCCGCAGCCCCGTGTCTCTACTTCTCTATCATTTCTGTTTCCTTTAAAACACTTGTAGTAGTTTATGACTTTAGCAGACTAGTATTATGGTTTAGAGATGCTTATGACTTGTGACACCCCGGTTAGGGTTGTGTCGGGTTGGACTTTCCGCATTGTTATTGATATTTCCACTATTTAGTATTGTTTAAATCATGTTTAGACTATTTTTCAGGTTGATTAACTCATTTAAAAGTTGAGTTGGGTTGAACTGGCTGGCCTTGTCTTCACGAGAGGCGTCATCACGACCGGGTTCGGGGTTAGGGTCGTGAGAGTATGTCATCAGAGTCTAGGTTACGTAGGTCTCATGAGTCATGAGTAGGTTTAGTAGAGTCTCACGGATCGGTATGGAGATATCTGTATTTATCCTCAAGAGGCTGCAGAACCTTTAGGAAAACTTCACATTCTTGAAATTCTGGTCGTGCGAACTTGTTGATTCGAGTACTAAACTTCTGTTATTCCATTCTCTCATAGATGGTGAGGACTTGAGCTATCGAACGAGGTAGACGACCACTAGTGCTACCAACTGAAACCACCAGAGGCCGAGAACGCGGTGATGATCGTGGTAGAGGCAGAGCAGCGAAGGCAGCACCTGTTGATCCACCAACTGCCCCAGCCCTGGATCAGACTCAAGCTGTGGATGCTCCAGCAGCACCAGTTTAGGCACCAGCTGTGCCTATAGTGATTCCGGGTCTTCAGGAGGCCTTGGCACAAATCTTATCTGTTTGCACTAGCCTGGCTCAAGCGGTTTAAGCCACTACAGTCGTAGCTACTTCACAGGCCGGGGGAAGCAATCAGACTCCCACCGCTCGCACACCTGGGTAGGTAGTGTAGGGACTTCAGACGCCGGGGGCGCATCCAGCCCAGCCTGTCGCAGCTGCTCAAGACTATGTGGTTCCTGTCATGTCAAAGGATGAGCAATGTGGATTGGAGAGGTTTGGTAGATTACAGCCTCTGAACTTCAGTGGCATAGAGGGCGAGGATGCCCAGGGCTTTTAAGATAAGTGTTAGAGGATGCTTCGTACTGCCGGTATTCTGGAGACCAGCGGGTCGCTTTTACCACCTATCAGTTTTCAAGAGTTGCTTTTACTTGGTGGGAGGATTTTGAGAGGCATAGGTCTGTTGGTATAGCGCCCCTTACTTGGCAGCAGTTCTCCGTTCTCTTCCTGGAGAAGCATGTGCCGCAGTCCCGTAGAGAGGAGCTGCGTAGACAGTTTGAGTGGTTGCAACAGGGGGATATGACTGTGTCACAGTATGAGTTGAGGTTTTCTGAGTTGGTTATCATGCCATCTGGATGGTTTCGCCTGATCGAGAGAGGATCAGGAGATTTGTTGATGGTTTTACTTACCACCTCTGTATTCTTATGACTAGAGAGAGGGTGACTGGTTCCACCTTTGAGGAGGTTGTTGATATCGCCCATGAGATTGAGACTATTATCCATCAGGAGAGAGAGAAGAGGGAGGCCAAGAGGCCTCGAGGATCTGTCAGCTATAGTGGTGCTTCTTCGAGGGGCCAGTTCCAGCATAGCAGAGGCCGTTCATTCAGGCCTGCTCAGTCAGCTCGCCTAGGTTATCGGGGAGAATCTTCGGGTCATGCTTATCATGTATCTCAGCAGGGCTAGTCCTCACTCAGCGCCCTTCCAGCTCAGAGTGCATCTCGTGCTCCATCGGTTCAAAGTTCTTCTATGCCGAGTGCATCTGCTAGTCACTCCGGTGTGAGGGGTTCCCTTCAGTCCCCTTCTCCAGCACCTGGGAGTTGTTATGAGTGTGGTGAGATGGGCCTCATATGGAGGCAGTGTCCTCGTCGTGTTGCTAGTTCATCCCAGCAGAGGGGTCAGTCTTCGGCTTCAGCGCCAGTTTCTTCACCACCACCTGCTTATCCAGCTAGGGGTGGAGGTCAGCCAGCCAGGGGGTCGCCCCAGAGGTGGAGGTCGATCAGGGGGCAGTCAGGCCCGTTTCTATGCACTCTCAGGCATACCCGATGTTATTGTTTCATATGCTGTTATCACATGTATTATTTCAGTCTTCCA